ACGCTTCCACCCCCAGATTCACGGCCGCCTGGAACCTCAAAAAGTGACATATTTGGAAATGGAGCCATTTAAGGTGCGATCAATGAAGTTCAGGGGCGCAATCGTTCTCGATAGGCACGGCCTGGAGGGGACGGCGTCATCAGGAGGGAGGTCTGGCTCTCACGAGCTCACGGGTGACGCGGGCACACGCGCAGGTGCGTCTGGAGCCCCAGAGGCGGGATGAGGCTGGCCGCACCCTCCTGCAGAGCCTCTGGAGAAGCACGGCCCGGCCACAGCTCGGCTTCCAGCCCCGGGGCCCCAGAACCCAGCGGGCGTGAACGTAAGCCTCCAGGCGTGTGGGCACTTGCTGCGGGGGCCGCGGGGCATGTCTCCAGAAGGAAGCCGGGGTGTCCGACAGCCCCCGGGAGCTGCGGGGCCCATGGCTCAGGACATGCCCTCCCCTCCATCCCGGTGTCGGCCTCATGGTGTCCAAGGGCCAAGCTGGTTCTCCCCTCGGTGGCTGAGCTCCCCCATGGGTCTGTCTGCTGCGGGGCTGGGCGGGAGGGCCTGGGATCTTCCCCGCAGGCCCCCCGGAGGGTCTGCATCTGACTCCCAAAGACCAGAGCACGGGGCTCGGCCCCGCTCATCCCCCGAGAGCATCCACGTCCTGTTTTCCCCTTTCTGTGCATCCAGATGGCAAACACGGGAAGCACATATGCTCTGTTCTCTTAACTGGGAGCCTGGAATGAGCGTTTGCTAAGTTTCTACCAGCAGCCCCTGTAAGAATCTCAGTGCTGGTGTGTGGGGCTGGGTCCAGGGTCCAGAGCTCGGGGCCTCGTGTGCTCGTCCTGCACGACCACCCAGGCGCATGCCTGCACGAGACCCCTGCTCGTCCACCTGGGCGTGTGCCTACACGAGACCCTTGCTTGTCCGCCTGGGCACGTGCCTCCACGAGGATCCTTGCACGAAGACCCCTGCTTGTCCATGGGGGCGTCTGCCTGCACGAGGCCCATGCTCGTCCACCTGGGCACATGCCTGCATGAGGATCCTTGCACAAAGACCCTTGCTTGTCCACCTGGACGTGTGACTGCACGAGACCCCTGCTCGTCTGCCTGGGCGTGCCTGCACAAGGATCTTTGCACGAGGCCCCTGCACATCTGCCTGGGCATGTGCCTGCACCAGGACCCTGAATGCGGCTGACTGGAGAGCCAGGAACCTTGTGCCGCAGGTGCTCCCGGAGCAGAGGCCCCGCGTGTCGCTCCCACGGGCCGTCAGGGGGGCCCATCTGGCATAGGCTAGGCCCTCGGGTGATACATGTAGAATTCAAGAACACGGAGATCTCCTGGTTAACTGAGCCGCCCGGACGGGGCACGTTGTCTTCAGGACGGTGCAGACGGGCAGTGGAAGTGGCAGCGGCCCCCAGCCTGTCCCATGCTCGCTTGCTCGTCCAGGACGTGGGCTTGGCACACAGATGCTCCGGCCTCCGGGAGATGTTAACCGGCAGAGCCTGACATGAGCACCTGAGAACAAAACCCACCGAGGGCTTCTCCGCTGTGTGGACGGTCTCCAGCGAGCGTGAGCCTCCGGCCAGGCAGCCGGCGTCCCCGCCCAGTGTCGTCCAACAGCCGCCCGGATGTGCGGCCCACCCCTCGCTGGCTGCACTCCTGGGACACGTGGGCACAGGCGCTCGGGCAGCTGCCGCTGTGTCCCCTCTGGGAGCCTGGTCTTGGGAAGTGCGGTCTGGGGGATGCAAGTTTCCATGAAATCCGAGCTCCTGGACAGAACTAGACAGGCTCCCACTAGACGCTCCTCGCTCCCCACAAGGGGACTGAATTCGAGGATGGCGCAAAACAGCTCCTCAGAAACACGGGGTTCAGTCTGGCTGGTTCACTCTGATGTGGGAGATGGCACAGCTGCTCACGTCGGGCACTGTGCACGTTCCAAGCTGGGGCGGAGTGCTGTGGATCACAGCATACCGAAGACCACCAGCACACGCAGCTCGTGGTGTCAGCGGCGACTGTCTGGGGAGATGTGTGCCGTGTAGGCTGGGGGGCACCCCGCTCGCTGGGTGGACCCCGACCCCGTGCTGTCAGTGGCCACAGTGCCGCAGTCACCTGCGGGAGAGCCTGCAGAGTCCCCCGCGTCACCTGCCTGGTGCAGACCGACACCCGCGGGGCCAACACAGTGCGGGAAGCCGAGCCCGAAAGCCAACGCAACGCGGGTGCCAGGTGCTGCCCCAGGGTCCCCCAGGATGGTGGGGTCCCCGCGACGCCCTGCGACCTGCGGCAGCCCCCACGTCTCAGCTGGTGACCCCATGCAGGCGCGTGAGCCTCAGGAACGGGCCCTGACCCTCAGGACGCGGGATGCTCTGATATTTTTACTCGGTTTCTTCCTCCTCGTCTGAAACGCTGATTGTGATCCAGTAATTTCACGACCCACCAGTGGGGTGAAGACCTGCCCTCTGAGAAGCAGCGCTCTTGGAAATACACACGTCAGCACATCCTGGGGTCCCTCCAGGGAGCCGCACAGTCCCCTTATCATAGGTACTTGTGTGGCGCTGAGCGAGGGTCGGTCCCCTGTGCCTGCCCCCGGGCGTTAGCGGGCGGGGCCCCTGCGGAGGAGTGGGGCAGGACGCGGCGGGGGCGGGGCGCCACTCCGGACTCCTCTGTGGTCTCTAGGGGACAGGAGCCGCCACGTGGCCAGGTGGTCATGGGCGCTCTTGAAAAACCTCAAGGGGAAACATGAAACCGCGGAGCCAACTGACCAGGTGTCACGGCACCGAGATGCCATCTGGAAAATGGGCCTGTACGCTCCAGCCACGTGGTGTTTGGGTCCAGGGCTCTGGTGACCGTTTACGAAAGCTTCGCAGGCAGGTCACCGCAGGCCAGGCCTGCTGCCAGAGCCCGAGGAGAGTCTGCACACCCCTGGGGAGGCCCCGGCCCGCCAGCACCATCACACAGCCCCGACGGGATGCACCAGCCCAGGATCCACCCCACTTGCCCTCCACGGTGCAAGGGCCCCGACGGCGCACCTCTGGGGGGGGGGCGGGAGCCCGGAGAGCAAGCACTTGTCCCCGACTTGCCCCGGGCGTGGCAGGGGTCCTGCACGCACCCCAACCAGCTGTGGCACACCAGCTGCCCCCAGGGTGGGCGCCTCCAGGAACGGGCAGATGGGAGAACGTCTTCAGAGCTGGAAGACACGTGGGCGTGTGCAATCAGACCCGGCTTCTGGGGGGAGGCGAGCAGGGAGAGAGTCCACCTCTGTGGCCGACCGCCCACTGGGGTTTTCAGGGCCATGAGACCAAGGCGCTGGTCCTGAGCTGAGGGCCTGGGAGGCCACGGGACTGGCCCCCGGCAACTGTGGGTGTGCAAGGAAGGGGGGCACGCCGATGGACGCTGGTGTAACAGGGCTGCAGGGGGGCTGCAGGGCACAGTGGGCCTATGACCCCGATTCACCCGTGAGGTCAGGAGGGCGCTGCTGGATCACTTCCCCTGGGCGAGCAACCTTCAGCACCCTGCTCAGGCCTGGGCGCAGCCCTGACCCCCAGCCATGCCCGGGGCCCTGCCGCGGGTGGGCGGCCTGGAGCCTCCCCATCACCGGCAGGTGCTGCACTCGGGGCTGCGCTGGGTGGGGTCTCCACGCGCTGACCTGCAGGCTCCGGGGACGGGGACAGCGGCACTGACCGTGCAGGCTCTGCATGTCTCCGGGTCTCTGCCGTCTGGGAACGGAACATGGGGGGACCTAGAGAGCTCAGCCTCCCCGTGATGCCCTGGAGGCAGCGGCCACCTGCGAGCCACCATGTTCCCCCAGGGCTGCCAGGCAGGTGGTGGGAACAAAGCCCGCACACCCCCCAGGGTGAGGACGGGGTGGCCAGCTTCCGGGCTGGGAGGCTCCTGCACCCCTGCCTCTCAGCCCCCAGCGGCCCGGGTGCCCTGCCTGATGCCTGTAGATGGACGCCCATAGCAGAAGGTCCCCCGCAGGGCCTGGGTGCGTCTCCCTGAGGGGCCGTGGCAGCCGGGCCCCTGTGTGCACAGCTGACCCCCACCCTGGGCACCCCTGCAGGGCCCAGCCCGCAGGCAGGGGTGAAGCAGGCGGGTCACCCTCGGGTCCTCTCTGAGGTCCTGCGAGGAGACTTGGATGCCCGTGGGGCTTTCCGGATCCTTGTCTAGGGGCCCTGGGCTTCCCTGACTGCATGTTCACAAGGCACGGAGGTGGGAGTCACAGCCAGGGGCACACAGCCCACTTTGGTTCTCAGCTCCTACAAGGAAGAGCCAGGGAGGGGGTGACATTGGCCAGAGAGGAGGAGAGGCCACTGCCAGGCGGGGCGCGGTCTGCGGGGCCGGTCCTGTGCCCCACACCGTTGCTGCTGTGCCCAGAGGAACTTACCTTTGGACGAGGGACCTCAGACAGTGGGCCCAGGACTCTTTCCCGTCCTTCCCTCTGGCCCCCTGGGGACCAGGTGGGTCCCGGCTCCTGGAATGGAGGGTGCACCATGTGCCCCTCAGCGGGATCTGGGGGCGACAGGGGCGCCCTCGGGGGTGTTCGGGGTCACCGTTCTGAACGGCCATGACGCGGTGCCCAGGGCAGGGGTGACCTGGACGACCCCCGCCCTCCCCAGCCCCTACTCCTTACAGAGGTGTCACCTGCCCCAAGGGGCGTCCTAACCCGTCCTCCTGCCAGGAGTCGCAGGCACACCGTCCGCCCCAGACACAAGACGACGTTACCAACCACCTTCTGTGTGGGCTGAAGCCCTGAGGGCGGGTCTGTGCGTCCCTGGGCCCACAGGGGACCGCCTGACGGGGTGGAGGCAGCCCAGGGACAGACGGATCCAGCCCCAGGCACGCAGCGGCTGCGGAGGGTAGGCGGCAAGGCCGGCGGCCTCCCCGTACAAGGCAGCCAGGTGCTGCATCCCCGTCATCCTCGCCGGTGTGTGGTTCACCTCCCCCCCCACCGCCAGGACCCAGTGTCCGAGGCCAACCCGCCTTCCCCATGTGGTGGGGCGAGCAGGGCCGCGTACGCACCGTGGTGGTCTTTATCCGGCCGCCGGGCTGTGTGCACGTCCAGCCGGACCGGTTGATCAGCAGGTCACAGCCCTCGCCCTCCAGACATGGGAGCATGTCACACCACTGCTTCGTCTTGATGATGCGAGCTGTGGAGAGAGGAGAGCGGTCAGCCGCTGCTCACGGGGCGCCCGGGCAGACATGGGGGACAGCAGGTGCGGCGGGCAGCACCCAGCGTCCTCGGGGGTGGCCCCTCAGGTCCAGCTCAGCACCGACCCATCAGTAAGTGGCACAGGGGGTGCTGAGGACAGTCTCCTCTCCGATGGAAAGCCTTAGAAGCAGGGGCTGCATCAGGAAGGGAGTGAGGACTGTGACCCTCCCTCAAGGACCTCCAGAGGACAACCAGCTGGTCGTCAAACTGGGACCGCACGTGTGTCCTACGGTTGACTGGCTGCACGTCTGTAAACGTGGGGACCGATACAGGGAGGGGGCGCTGCAGCGACGGAGCCTGGGCGGGCAGATCGGACGCCAGGTCAGCTCAAGGCTGAGTTGTCAGCACGCTGCCCACTGCCAAACACGGCATCCTCCCCAGCTCCGGGAGGATTAACAAAACCCGGGGTTTTCCAGGAAACAAGGAGTCAGGTCCTGCGAGGACAGACGTGTCTCAGTGCATGTGCCTGGTGCTCGACGCGTGGACCGTCCCCTTAGGGGCGGTGGTAAAAGGCGGGCAGGCGGGGGAGAGAGCCCACCAGGCCACCGTGTGAGTCTTGGGGCCGTTCCTCCCCAGGCCGTGCCACGGACGGGACTGTGCCCCCTGGAGTCACACGGGGAAGCCCTAATGCAACGTGGGGGTCCTCGAAGATGGTGCTTTTACAGAAGTAACTCAGCTTAAGAGAGGTCACCAGGGTGGGGGTCCCAATCCCATAGGATTAGTGCCCTCATGGGAGGAGCCTCCAGGGCTCCCTCTTTCCCTTGGCGCCGAGTGCGAGGACGTGGCCAGAGAGCCAGGGGAGGCCGCCCCAAAGCCCCGGCCCCCAGGGCTGAGAAGCCGAGTGTCGGGTGCTGAGGCCGCCCGGCCCGGCCCGCGGTGTTGTCAGTGCAGCCTGGCAGGCTGTGACCCAGGGGGGTCCCACCACCCAGACTCAGCCGGCTGGGAAGGTGCGTGGAGACACCGCAAACGAGCACCCACGCGGTTCCCCGGGGCGCAGCCGGGACGCACCAGGTTCCGCTCATGGCTTCCCCGGGCACCATGGACCCCTCGGTGAGAAGTGGGGGCGGGTGGGAGCCCCTCCCAGGATCCCCGGCTCAGGCGCTTGGCGCCTGTGCATGCACGTCCCCGGGGCCTCCCCTCCGCTGCTCATCATTCCTGCCGGAGCCCGAGCACCGTCGCCATCCCCGAGACACTGTTTTGTGAGAGTAAAAGGCCCAAAAGCCTTGCTGGACGTCAGCGAACGTGGCCCTTAGCGGATCGAAGCACATGCACGGCCAGGCCCCGGGACGCCGCGAGTCGGGAGGGCTCTGGTGGATCAGGGGGCATCCAAGGGATCCGCATCGGGTGCTCCCCGCCCACCCCAAGCCTCGCCCAGGGGAACGCCGTCAGCGTAGCCTGTGGCACAAGGAGGCTGGGGCCGCGCTGTCCCACCCGAGCCACCAGGAGCGGGAGCAAGGAGACGTGCCTCCTGGAGCCAGAGAGCTATGGGGCTGTGGAGGCCGGAGGGCCGAGGTCCTGCACACTGGGGCCAGGCTCCTCCAGATGGGGCTGCCCAGACGGTGTTGGGGGGTCCTGGCCTGGGCTGCACGGCCTGGCCTGCAGGACACGCGGTGACGCGGTCACACCCCGATGCCAGCAGGGGAGGCAGTGAGCCAGGCCTGGGTTGGCCCCTGCAGGCATAGGAGGGCCTGGGTCCGTGATGCTCATCCCCATGCTTGGTCCCCCCGGGGTCCATGGTGCTTACCCCCACCCCCTGCTCGGTCCCCCTGGGGTCAGTGGGGCTTATCCGCCCCCCCGCCCGCCGTGCTCAGTCACCCCTGGGGTCTGCTGCTCTCACGCCCCCCCCGCTGTGCCCAGTCTCCCCCGGGGTCCACTGTGCTCACCCCCCCACACCGTGCTCGGTCCCCCCAGGGTCGGCAGTGCTCACCCCCATGCTCGGTCCCCGCCCCCGGGGTCCGTGGTGTTTACCCCAGTGCTCCGTCCCCCCAGGGTCGGCGGTGCTCACTGCCCATGCTCGGTCCCCTGGGGTCTGTGGCGCTTACACCCCCCCCATGCTCAGTCTCCCCAGGGTCGGTGAGGCTCACACCTGTGCTCAGTCCCTCCAGGGTCGGTGGTGTTCCCCCCCCAAGTGCTTGGTCCCTCTGGGGTCGGGCATCCCCCCCCGCCCTGTGCTCAGTCCCCACAAAAGCACAGTACAGGGGTGGAGGAGAAGGTGCAGGTGGGAGCACCCGCACGGGGTTGGACAGGTGAGCGCACAGACACGCAGCCCTCACTGTCACGGTCAGGACACCCATGGTCAGGGGCTGAGTGGGGACAGACGCTGGGGGTCCCCGGCCGTCCGTGCCTCCTGAGGACCAGGGGATGCTCCTATCTGTGGCCCCAGCAGCCTCCATCTCCCTTGTCAGGCCCTTGGCCGAGGCCCCCTTGTCCCGCGTGCCACCCTCGGCTCCACCCTCGGCTCCATGGGGGCCCGTTTGCCTCTCGAAGCCGCGTGGGGCCATCGAGCCCTCTCCATTCCTCCCTGACCATCCCACCCTCAGCTCTGAGAGCCAGGGGGCGCAGGAGGGAGGGCACACGTGGCCCCATAAGGCCGGCGTGACCCGCACAGGGTCAGCGGTCAGGAAGGAGAGGGGAGGCAGGACGGGAGCCTGCAGCAGGGGAGGCCCGCGTCCCGCCCCGGCAGCCACGGCGTCCGACCGCACACGTCCTCGCCTGCACGCGCACGTACACACCCGTACACACCCCGTCATATGTGTGAACACAGGCACACACGCCTGCACAGACCTCAAGTGTGCACACGCACACACATGCGGAGTCAGACCTGCCCCCCCCAGCAGCGTGGCGGCCTGGGCGTGCCAAGTGCCAGCCCTGCTGGGGGCACCGCGGGGCCACCGCCGAGCACACACGCCCTTTGTCTGCCACTGGGCTTAGCTCACCCTGCCCGAGCCCACTTCCTGCTGGAGGCGGTCGGAGGCGCAGTGCTGGCCACCACATCCCAGGGACAAAGGGACCTTTCATGCCACACGTCACTGCTTCGGTGACGCAGAGGCAGCTCCAGCGGCACAGAGGGCACCCACCCTTCAGGAGCAGACCATGCACAGGGGGCACGCATGACGGAGGCGGACTGCTGGCCTCTGGGGGCGTGGTGCAGCCCATCGTGTGCCTCTGCCATGGGAGGCTCTGGGCCCAGGGGACATCAGGGGTCATCACCCAGGCCCAGAGGGCGGGTGGTGCGGGTGGCCGGGGACTGGCGGCTGGAATGGGGCAGCTCCACTAACCCCAAGCCTGACGGTGCTGCTCGGCCTTGGGGCGGCCCCACCACCCCTGTGTCCCCAGAGAGGCCACTGGGCACCCGTACTCGCTCCTGCACTCACCAGCCGGGTCTTGCTCATGAACACGCTTGCATGTCCACACACGCAGCTGTGGTGTGGGCTCCGTGCACCTGCTGCTGGCCAGGCCCGGTGGGAGCTCCCCTTGCCGCCCAAGCCCGGTGTGGGGGGCACTGAGGGCCCCTGCTCTTGCCCTGCACAGTGGCTTGGGGACACGACGCGCACAGCGGTCCTGCCACTTTCCACCAGGCCACCCTTGGTGACGCAGCCTGAGACCCAGGGCTGAGCAGCTCTCCTTGGGCCGACCCCCAGGGAGACTGAGCCCACGGGGTCCACTGGCTGGCGTCGGGGCCCCGTGACGGTCTCTCCCGCGAGAGTCCCAGACTTTAGACGCCCGGCGAGGTCACGTGTTTCCCCAGCTGCTCCTGTCTCATCAGGGTGACGACTGTCACAGAAGCTCCGTGGCTCCTTCCAAGGCCTTTTCTAGAGACAGTGAGAGACCTGCCCCACCGGGAACCAGGTTGGCCATTCTTTCCCGGGTGGGCACCCCACACCAGTGAGCAGGGCTCTGCAGTGTTGGCACAGGGAGGGGGGTGAGCGCCACGGCACCCCGAATCACACATGGGGCCGTGGGGTGCAGCGCCTGGGGCCACACGCTCCATGCACACACGGCTTGCTCCCTGCCCGCTCCAGAGGAAAGAGCGTGGCAGGACACCTGCGGTGCTCTGACCCCGTCGCTGTCGTGACGGGACCGTGCCTGTTGGAGGCAGAGCTGGATGGCACAGCAAGGCCAACTCGCCTGGTGCGTGAGCTGCTCGGGAGAGGAACCGGGCGGCCTCCGGGTGGCCTGGGGGGAAGGTGAGACTGCAGCGACCTGGCAGGTACGCCTCCGCGGCGAGCCCCGCGCTACAGCTGTTTCTTCCCCAAACATCTGCCTCGTAAAATGAATGCTGCAAATTTAAATTTTATTGGTTTTGCAGTTTTGTTTGTGTTTAATTTGTAAATGGTCTCAGTTTATTCCAGTTTATAGTCTGGTGAGGGCTCCCAGCTTGGCATTTGCTCATGTTCCTGCAACATCATAATAAAAACGATTTAGGTCAATAGTGAGGGGCCCAAGGAAGTAGGTTTCCCTTAAAAGGAGTTTTCAAATGGTGTAAGCGTGAGGAACACAGTTGCCCGCCCGGGGCAAGCTGGTCGGAGAAGGAGGCAGAGCCGGTGCCCGACACTGTCCGGCGAGGGGCTGCTCGGGGCGAGCCCTGGCCACACACGGGGGCTGCAGAAGCGAGCCCAGGAGGAGCCTGCGCTGCCCACACCTCTGCCCCAGGTAAAGGGGCCTCGCTGTCCTGGGGCGGTCTCCTCTGGGGTCTCCCCGCTGTGGCCCGGGGCCGGAGCCACATGGATGTGGACACGGATGTGTGCGGTGCACATGGACCGTGGGGTAGCCTGCTTCCCGCCGTCCCTCTAGTCCCTCCGGGGGTGGGGGGAGCGTCTCCCCTGGGATTCTAGTAGATTCCACATTTATTTTACTCATTTGGGCAACAACGTGCTAAGTTGCTGGCAGCGTCATGTGGTAATTAGATCTGGCCCCAAACTCGATTAAGCACTGATT